CCCCTACCCCACCTTCCTTCCACTACAGACTGATACACTCTTGAAGTCACTCTGTTTCACTCCATTCTCTCTACATGTCCGAACCACCTCAACAACCCTTCCTCAGCCCTCTGGGCAACAGTTTTGGTAATCCCACACCTCCTCCTAACTTACAAACTATGAATTCTCTGCATTATATTCACACCACACATTGCCCTCAGACATGACATCTCCATTGCCTCCAGCCTTCTCCTCACTGCAACATTCATCACCCATGCTTCACACCCATATAAGAGCGTTGGTAAAACTATACTCTCATACATTCCCCTCTTTGCCTCCAAGGACAAAGTTCTTTGTCTCCACAGACTCCTAAGTGCCCACTCACCCTTTTTCCCCTCATCAATTCTATGATTCACCTCATCTTTCATAGACCCATCCGCTGACACGTCCACTCCCAAATATCTGAATACATTTACCTCCTCCATACTCTCTCCCTCCAATCTGATATCCAATCTTTCATCACCTAATCTTTTTGTTATCCTCATAACCTTACTCTTTCCTGTATTCACTTTCAATTTTCTTCTTTTGCACACCCTACCAAATTCATCCACCAATCTCTGCAACTTCTCTTCAGAATCTCCCAAGAGCACAGTGTCATCAGCAAAGAGCAACTGTGACAACTCCCACTTTGTGTGTGATTCTTTATCTTTTAACTCCACGCCTCTTGCCAAGACCCTCGCATTTACTTCTCTTACAACCCCATCTATAAATATATTAAACAACCACGGTGACATCACACATCCTTGTCTAAGGCCTACTTTTACTGGGAAATAATTTCCCTCTTTCCTATATACTCTAACTTGAGCCTCACTATCCTCGTAAAATCTCTTCACTGCTTTCAGTAACCTACCTCCTACACCATACACCTGCAACATCTGCCACATTGCCCCCCTATCCACCCTGTCATACGCCTTTTCCAAATCCATAAATGCCACAAAGACCTCTTTAGCCTTATCTAAATACTGTTCACTTATATGTTTCACTGTAAACACCTGGTCCACACACCCCCTTCCTTTCCTAAAGCCTCCTTGTTCATCTGCTATCCTATTCTCCGTCTTACTCTTAATTCTTTCAATAATAACTCTACCATACACTTTACCAGGTATACTCAAACAGACTTATCCCCCTATAATTTTTGCACTCTCTTTTGTCCCCTTTGCCTTTTTACAAAGGAACTATGCATGCTCTCTGCCAATCCCTAGGTACCTTACCCTCTTCCATACATTTATTAAATAATTGCACCAACCACTCCAAAACTATATCCCCACCTGATTTTAACATTTCTATCTTTATCCCATCAATCCCGGCTGCCTTACCCCCTTTCATTTTACCTACTGCCTCACAAACTTCCCCCACACTCACAACTGGCTCTTCCTCACTCCTACAAGATGTTATCCTCCTTGCCCTATACAACGAAATCACAGGCTTCCCTATCTTCACCAACATTTAACAATTCCCCAAAATATTCCCTCCATCTTCCCAATACCTCTAACTCTCCATTTAATAACTATCCTCTCCTATTTTTAACTGACAAATCCATTTGTTCTCTAGGCTTCCTTAACTTGTTAATCTCACTCCAAAACTTTTTCTTATTTTCAACAAAATTTGTTGATAACATCTCACCCACTCTCTCATTTGCTCTCTTTTTACATTGCTTCACCACTCTCTTAACCTCTCTCTTTTTCTCCATATACTCTTTCCTCCTTGATATTGTCAGGAATAATCATACCTGAGTTATCATGGGTGAATCCTTAGAAGGGAGTGGAGTTGGAGAGGGAGTCAGCCATGTTTGTTGTTGTTCCCTGGGTGGCGGTGGTGAGGGGGGTTGATGATACACCGGCGTCCTGCTGGGTAGACAAGTTGAGTTCTAGGGTCCTTGCTGTTTTTCTTTTATTACTGATGTTGTTTCTTCTGCAATATCCTTTCATAGTATCACTGAAGTAGATACTGTGTAGCAATGGAGGAGAAGGCTTGTTTTCTCAGAGCTTGGGTTAAGTGGTTGTCTGGCAGCGGAGGCAGTGTTTGGGTTAGCAGGGCTGTCTTCCTTAGATCTTCTAATTTTGTCAAGATTTGGGTTACATTCTTAGTATTCTTGGGTCATTTTGTGGCCTATGTGGGTTCATGTAGTTGTACTTTCACTTAGGCCATCACAAGTTTTGGTGAGCGATGTTTTTTTTTTGAGGAAGAAGAGCTGGTAGGATGCCGCTGCTGCCTGTCTTTCATTCAAAGTTTAATAGGCTTATGTCCTGGGAGAGCCTTTTCCTCCTGAGTAATGTAGGTCCTGTTTGGCATTTTCTTCCAAAACAGTCCTGTTTCATTACAATTAAACACTTGTTCAAGTTTTAAGTTTTCAGTGTCTATGTATTCCTTAAAGCCCTTAAAGCACATATTTTTCAGCCGCTTTTTTGTCTGAACTGGCTGCCTCACCATGCCTTACCACACTGTGTATGCCACTACTATTCTTAAATCTATCAAACCAGCCTTTGCTGGCCTTAAATTCATCAATATCATCACTACTTTGAGGCATTTTCTTAACAAGATCATCATGCGACTTCCTTGCCTTTTCACATATTACTGACTGAGACACACTGTCTCCTGATAATTGTTTTCCGTTTATCCATACCAACAACAGTCTCTCTACCTCTTCAATTATTTGCAGTCTCCATTTTGAAAACATACTTGCACCTTTCGCAACAACAGCTTCCTCGATTGCCTTTCTGTTCGCCTAGATAGTACTGATGGTGAATGGGGTTTGTTGTATAGCCTTTCCAACTCGGACATACGCACTCCACTTTCGTATTTTTCAATTATCTCTTTCTTCATTTCCATCGTAATTCTCACCCTTTTTACCACAGGCTTGACACTAGAAGCTTTCTTGGGGCCCATGGTGGCTTATTTAGCAGTTACAAGCACTAAAAACACTGGAATAATATAAAATATATCGCAGGTACACGTGGAATCAAGCGCAACGGTTGAAACTTCTTGGACACTTGTGCGCACTTTGAAATTTGCCCTTTGGACCCTGAAAGGGTTAATACTTCTGGGTGTCTGGAACGGATTAATTGTATTTACATTATTTCTTATGGGGAAAATAGTTTTGCAAATTTCAATTTCGGAAATAGTCATACTTTCTGGAACATATTAATTATGAAAAATGAGGGTCCACTATATATGGCAAGCCCAAGCCAGGTACTAGAAATAAGTCACTTTGACTTTTTTGGGTTATCCTAGGTTCTTTACACACATGCTGCTATGTATGATAATCTATGCAGAGAAAATAGCTTTTTTGTTTCAGTTTTATAGTGTATTACGAGTGTGTATCACAGTTAGCCCTGTGCTATATTCCATTTTCTCTAATATAAGCCCCAAGATAGAGATAGGAGAATGGAACTTGTATCCTATATCCCCTTCATACCTCAGTCGAACTGCTCAGTTTTATGCCAAATATTATTCATTCTGGAGTATTTAACAAGTTTATATGTTATTTATATTGTTTAAAATGTCATATTAAATCAATTGTGATAGGCAAATAAGCTGTAGTGTTGATATTAGCATAGTAATAAAGCATATTCCCCTGCATCACGAGACTGAACTCATGGCAACCGACAGTGGCTTCAAAGTCACCTTGTCATTTATGAACAATGTACTGTGTATGTGCTTTACACAATGAGAAACATTTCTTTTATTCGTTGGAACTATGGCTAGGGCAAGAAGTACATGTAAGCAGGTTATAACAATAAATGGAGAAAAAGAAATTGGAATGACTTATGCAGCAAGTAGCGCCACCAAACAGTACCAGCAAGTTGGCGTGGCAACCTTGGAAATTTTAAATTATGTTAGCCGAAATTAGTGCCGAATAACTGATGGAATCGGATGTCTGATTGCCGGATTTGTGATGGCGGACCTGTACTTATTATCAAACCCCTTTCTATACAAAGTTCAATTAAAGGATCCCCATTATCATTTACCCCTGGAACCCCAAACTTACCTGCTATGCTCTCTACATCAGTTTCTCCCACTTTAGTATCTAAGTCCCCCACCACAATTACTCTCTCACTTGGTACAAAAGTCCCTAAACACTTGCTTAACATCTCCAAAAATCTTTCTCTCTTTCCTTTACACTCCCTTCTGTGTGGTGTGCTCACATTTCTTTGGTAAAGATGGGTTAAAAGTACAGATTAAAATAATGTTCTGGACTATTGCTGGCTAATCACATCCATTTCTTGTCCACTTGTTGGGGAATGACAACTCAGATCACATTACACCACTACCTTCTCTCCTCACTAGAAAACCTTTACCACTACTATTACTCACTACATGCCCAGGCACCTAATACTTTTGCTATAATTGCGAGAGGGTTAAGAATATATGGAATATAGTGTTGTGTTGGATAAAATGGGAGACAGTCTTGTTGCTGCAGCCCATGTAGTATTTTTTTTTTTTAAACATACTGACTGTTCCCCACTGAGGCAGGGTGACGCAAAAAAGAAGAAAACTATAAAGTTTATATTCTTTTTGCATTTTGTAATCCATGTGGTGTTGTCAGATGCAATGTAAGTGTGTGAGTGACAGCCCTATTGTTGATGATCATGTAGTGTTGTATCAGATGCAATGTATAAGAGTGGGAGGGAGGGTGAGGAGAGGGGAGAATGAGGAGAAGGGAGGTAAGGGAACAGAAGAGAGGAAACAGGAGGGGAAGGGGGGAATAAAAAGAAGAAAAAGAAGAGAGACTTATTGGAGCATTGCACTATAAATTATTTATAAATTTCATTTATAAAAACATGAATAAGATAGGAAATATTATAGTTGGGGAATGCATCTTGGAGTATAATGTGGGTGTCTATGGGAAAACAGGTTCTGGGTTTGGAACACAAATAACGAATGATCATCAGGAATGCATTAGGGTCATAAGTGGGCACCTATTCACTATAAAGTATCAATGCTTTATTTACATACATTTAATCAATTCAAACAATTTAAATAATGCTCGTTTTCTGCTGCACATCACCAGGGACGAAGCAAGGCTGACAAAAAACTATGAAAATATCATTGGAGTTAAGATGTGATAGAGAATAAGAGAACATAAATCTTTGTATATGCACTTGCCTCAGGCTGTCTAGGAATGTCTCGATGAAGGTTTCTTGTAAGCCATTTATGGGGTTTACAGCTGTTAAGTATATTTTCCCAACACTGATGTCCATACTTATGAGAAACACCAACTCCTGAATTAGTAAAATATGAGAATAGCATTAATTAGAGAGCATGTTATAGAAAAAATACAGTACATAATATTGTAATGCAGCAACAGTCCACCACTAATAAAAACTGTTCTCCCAGTCTACCTGCTGATGGCACTGGGGATATGGGTAACATGTGAGTGTGACCCATATCCCCAGTGCCATCATAAATGCTGCTTTGCTTACACTCCAGTGCTACTGAAGTGTAAGCAAAGCAGCATTTATGAAGGGATTTATGGAAACTGGTTAGTCAGGTTAAGGTTCTGAAGTGGGAAGTAGAGTGCCTTTACTCTGAATGATGGGTAGGAAGGTTATGGTTCAGTGGATCCTTTGTAATGTGATGTCCATGCATTTACGAAAAGAGAGCGATGGTTCTCTGAACCATTCATCTACAGATGTGAAATTGTTTTGTTATGTATACAGTACTGGCATAATTATTATGAATTTTACGAAAATTAAATAATTTTCTACTAAAAGGTCAATTAAACCAATTTCTCTAAATGCTAATGAATTTATTTTTATACACCAGTACAGGTCAGGTATTTTGAACATTAAAATGGTATAAAATACCGACAGGTTGTTAGGTAAGACACATATGCAACAGTTAGGTATCTTTATTACGAAACGTTTCGCCTACACAGTAGGCTTCTTCAGTCGAGTACAGAAAAGTTGATAGAAGCAGAAGAGACTTGAAGACGATGTAATCAGTCCATCACCCTTAAAGTTTTGAGGTGGTCAGTCCCTCAGTCTGGAGATGAGCATTGTTCCATAGTCTGAAACAATATTGTTTCAGACTATGGAGAGTATTGTTCCACAGTCTGAAACAATATTGTTTCAGACTATGGAACAATACTGAGGGACTGACCACCTCAAAACTTCAAGGGTGATGGACTGATTACATCGTCTTCAAGTGTCTTCTGCTTCAATTAACTTTTCTGTACTCGACTGAAGAAGCCTACTGTGTAGGTGAAATGCTTCGTAATAAAGATACCTAACTGTTGCATATGTGTCTTACCTAACAACCTGTCGGTATTTTATACCATTTTAATGTTCAATCTGTCAGACACTGCAACACAAGGGTATCTTGGTACAGACCTGAAATCAACTTCGACAACCTCTACTAGTGAGAACGGCTGGATTTGAGAGGGACCTGACCTCACAACATCTGAGTTCTACTAGTGACCTACGTCTCACCTCCTGGCGCTATACAGTGGACCCCCGCATAACGGACGCCTTGCATAACGGACGCTTTGATCGCTAAAATTTTGCCCCGCATAGCACCCAAAAACCCGCTCAGCGGCCTTCGTCCGAGACGCGTCCAATGTGCGGCCTGAGCCAGCCTCATATGTTCCGCCGGTGGCATTTTTTACCAGCCAGCCTCCGCGGTAACATTCAAGCATACAATCGGAATATTTCGTATTATATTACAGTGTTTTCGGTGCTGTTTCTGGAAAATAAGTGACCATGGGCCCCAAGAAAGCTTCTAGTTCCAACCCTACAGCAATAAGGGTTAGAATTCCTATAGAAATGAAGAAAGAGATCATTGATAAGTATGAAAGTGGAGTGCGTATCACCGACCTGGTCAGGTTGTACAAGAAACCCAAATCAACCATCTCTTCTATTGTGGCCAAGAAAACGGCAATCAAGGAAGCTGTTCTTGCCAAAGGTTTAACTGTGTTTTCGAAACAAAGATCGCAAGTGATGGAAGATGTTGAGAGACTCTTATTGGTGTGGATAAATGAAAAACAGCTAGCAGGAGATAGCGTCTCTCAAGCGATCATATGTGAAAAGGGTAGGAAGTTGCATGAGGATTTAATTAAAAAAATGCCTGCAACTAGTGATGATGTGAGTGAATTTAAGGCCAGCAAAGGTTGGTTTGAGAGATTTAAGAAGCGTAGTGGCATCCATAGTGGATAAGGCATGGTGAGGCTGCCAGTTCGGACCACAAAGCGGCTGAAAAATATGTGCAGGAATTCAAGGAGTACATAGAAACTGAAGGACTGAAACCTGAACAAGTGTTTAATTGTGATGAAACAGGCCTGTTCTGGAAGAAAATGCCAAGCAGGACCTACATTACTCAGGAGGAAAAGGCACTCCCAGGACATAAGCCTATGAAAGACAGGCTTACTTTGTTGATGTGTGCCAATGCTAGTGGTGATTGCAAAGTTTAAGCCTTTATTAGTGTATCACTCTGAAACTCCCAGAGCTTTTCAGGCAAAAGAATGTCCTCAAGGATAATTTGTGTGTGCTGTGGAGATCAAACAGTAAGGCATGGGTCACTAGGGACTTTTTTCTATAACTGGTTACACCATGCATTTGCCCCCAATGTCAAAGATTACCTAACTGAAAAGAAATTAGAACTTAAGTGCCTCCTGGTGTTAGACAATGCCCCTGGTCATCCTACAGACGTGGCAGAGCGACTTTATGGGGACATGAGCTTCATTAAGGTGAAGTTTTTGCCTCCAATACCACTCCTCTCCTGCAGCCCATGGACCAGCAGGTCATTTCCAACTTCAAGAAACTGTACACAAAAGCTCTGTTTCAAAAGTGCTTTGAAGTGACCACAGACACTCGATTGACTCTAAAAGAGTTTTGGAAGGATCACTTTAATATCCTCAATTGTGTAAACCTTATAGGTAAGGCTTGGGAGGGAGTGACTAAGAGAACCTTGAACTCTGCTTGGAAGAAACTGTGGCCAGAAGTGTAGACAAAAGGGATTTTGAAGGGTTTGAGGCTAACCCTGAGAGGAGTATACCAGTTGAGGAATCAATTGTGGCATTGGGGAAGTCCTTGGGGTTGGAGGTTAGTGGGGATGATGTGGAAGAGTTGGTGGAGGAGGACAATGAAGAACTAACCACTGATGAGCTGATAGATCAACTTCAAGAGCAAGAGCCAGACCTGCAGAAACTGGTTTCAAAGGAGGGGAGAGAGAAATTGAAGGAATTGCCTACTTCAAAGATTAAGAAATGTGTGCAAAATGGCTTGAAGTGCAAACCTTTTTTGATGAAAATCACCCTCACACAGCTATTGCAAGCCGTGCTGGTGACTGTTACAATGACAATGTGTGAACCACTTTAGACAAATCATAAAGGAACGAGAGGTACAGGCCACTATGGACAGATATGTTGTGCGAAAGAAGTCCAGTGACTCTGAAGCTGGTCCTAGTGGCATTAAAAGAAGAAGGGAAGTAACCCCCAGAAAAGGACTTGCCTCCTCAAGTCTTAATGGAAGGGATTCCCCTTCTAAACACTAACACTCTCTCTCCCCTCCTCCCATCCCATCAATCATCACCAGATCTACAATAAAAGTAAGTGTCATGTAATTGTGCATGCCTTTTTCAGTTTGTGTGTACTAAAATTAACATTTTTTTGTGGTAAAAAAATTTTTTTTTCATACTTTTGGGTGTCTTGCACGGATTAATTTTATTTCCATTATTTCTTATGGGGAAAATTCATTCACATAGCGAACATTTCGCATAACAGCCAGCCCTCTTGCACGGATTAAGGTCGCTATGCGGGGGTCCACTGTATAAGGCTCCATCCTGTCACTTCAACTTCATATTGTTTCAGACTTCGGAACAATGCTCATCTCCAGACTGAGGGACTGACCACCTCAAAACTTTAAGGGTGATGGACTGATTACATCGTCTTCAAGTCTCTTCTGCTTCTATCAACTTTTCTGTACTCGACTGAAGAAGCCTACTGTGTAGGCGAAACGTTTCGTAATAAAGATACCTAACTGTTGCATATGTGTCTTACCTAACAGGTCAGGTATTTTACATTGATTAACCCTTTGACTGTTTTGGTCATAGATATACATCTTACGAGCCAATTTGTTTGACGTATATATGCTCAAAAATTCTAGCGGCTTCAAATCAAGCAGGAGAAAGTTGGTAGGCCCACATGTGAGAGAATGGGTCTGTGTGGTCAGTGTGCACAGTATAAAAAAATCCTGCAGCACGCAGTGCATAATGAGAAAAAAACTCCGACCATGTTTTTGAATTAAAACTCTGACTTAGAGGTGTATTTTCATATAGTATTTATGGTTGTATTCTTGTTTTCTTGGTCTCGTTTCATAGAATGGAAAACATATTATAGAAATAGAAGTGATTTTGATTGATTTTACTACGAAAAGGATCTTGAAATGGAGCTCAAAGTGGCTTCGAAATGTTCGATTTTTGCCAATGTTCAAGAGTAAACAAATGACATCATTGTCCAATAAATGTCCAACTAGCCATTCTAATATGCAGTCACGAATGGGTTGATGTTATTTATACAATTATTACAATATTGCAGTAGTCTGCATAACAGTAAATCTTGTATTTTTTGTTTGAATAAAAATTCAGAATAGAATGCAAGAGGATTATAACATGGGCCTGGAGACATGATAAACAGAGAAAATGTTATTTTAGTGCCAGGAATGTCTGCATTGTTCATTCTGGACTCTATTTTCAAATTAACATTTTTTAATTTGCATGAAATTGGCCAAATTGCCAATTTCTGACCACTTTATTGGGTAGTTGAAATTGGTAAATGGGCAGTTTCTTGCACTCAATTGATAGAACAAATGGAGTTCTAAAGAAACAGCTATTAGTTTGGTGAACTGGAACAGTGGAGTTGACCAAAAACAGGGCTCAAAGTGGGCGAAATCGCCGCTGAGTAAATGTTGCCAAGGTCGCTAACTTTGCAAGAGCATAATTCCATAAGTTTTCCATCAAATTTCATACTTTTGGTGTCATTACCATCAGGAAAAGATTCTCTATCATTTCACAAGAACTTTTTTTTTTTTTTTTCAAAAATTTTGCAACACCAGGAGACACCTCAGGATATGGGGTTGTGACAGTCAAAGGGTTAATATTCAGTCTGACCATCCCTAGCATCCATCAGTGCATAATTCCTTGTTGTCCTGCTTTAGTATGCAAAGGTTGTTTTGGGCTTCTTTTTGACAATGATAATTCCATTAGTGTGTATTTTCTGTGCCTGTGCTTGCTATTAACAATGGGTAAAAACAGTGATTTGAGTACTTGCAAAGTGGGACAGAGTGATAGCACACTAAAACAGAAACAGCCATAAATATGGTGTTTCAACTAAGTCAGTAAAATTAAGAAAAAAAACAAATTAGTCAAGATTTTAACTCAAAAAGGGTGGGAAGAGGGGGTAGAAAATGGAAAAAACACCAAGATTAGACAGAAAAATAATATGAATAGCTCTTAACAACAGAAGAGCATCTTGCATGCAAATTTCTTTTGACGTAGCAGCAGCAGGCATTAGCCTTGCCCAAAAGACAGTTAATGAGAGGATTTTGGAGAGTGGATTGAAAGCATATCAACACAAAACAAAGCCGCAGGTAAATGAACCCATGATACGGAAACATTTAGCTTGGGCTAAGAATCACATTGAGTGTACTTCTGAAAAATGGGAGTAGGTAAGAATTACATTTTGCTATTCAGTTCATTTGTCATTCATAAAAGAACATTTATTATTAGTAAAATGACAATTCAATTTGAAGAAAATTAAGAGTACCATTTAGCTTCTATTGTTTTTTTTTTACTGTTGCAGATGGTGTAAGATTACCATTGAGCTTCTCGGGTTGTTGCACCACTTCTATTATCTTTTCTATTATTGCTGGTGGTGTTCTCTGATGAATCAACCACTGCAGTGCTACATGATGATGTGCTGACTGTAACAAGGTGGTCAGCTGAGAAATTTATGCCTGAATGTCTGAAGAAGACGGTCAAATTTCCTCAGGAAATCATTGTGGGGGGAGCCATTTCCGTGCATGGAACAAGTCGTCTGCACATTGTTGAGGGTACCATGAACCAGATTAGGTATATAGAAGTACTAAAGCACCAATTACTGCTTCAGACAAGGGATTGGTATGGTGATGGATGTTGGATATTCCAACAAGACTAAGCCCCACGTCACACAAAATCGGTAAAGACGTGGTGTGCACAAAATGGCAATGAGTTGTTCCCACAGGCTGGAAATTAACCCGACATGAACCCTAATGAGATTTTATGATCTGTAATAAAGGAGGAAATACACGAAGTTCCCATTACAACCAAAGTGCAAGTCATAGAACGCTTTATTAAGGTTTGGTTTCATTCTTCCAGAATCAAAGAATTATGCAAAACTTTGATGGTTGGTATGATGCCTACACATAGGAAAGCACTTATGGATGCTAGAGGAGGTTATATGAAATTTTAATCAATGAAAAATATGACCTGTACTGGTGTACAAAAATATGAAATTGGTTTAATTGACCTTTTAGTAGAAAAATATCAAAATTTTTAAAAATCCATAATAATTGTGCTGGTACTGTATATTGCTAACGATGTTTAAGTCTAAAAATCTGTTAAGTAGCAAATCACATAAACAATGTATATTTCTGCTTCACTACATACACCAGTGATAGTTGCATCTACAAATATGTTCACCACCCTCCACCCACACACCACAAACACATACACAGTAGGAAAAAAAAAAGAATTGGCAATATTGCTAAAAAAAATACAAGACACAGATATTAACCTCTTAACTGTCCAAACATAGAGCTACATAGTTACCACTAGCACTCCAAATGTAGATCAACATTTTATTTTTCCTGCCTCCAAATTTGGCATGATTGGCCTGAGATACCTGGTCAGTATAGGATGGGTCTCAACACTCAGTGTGTGAAGTATTAAAAAAATCTGGGACCACTTAGTACCTTGTGGTAGCACAAGTTCAACTGAGTGCCAGCTGGAGCAAGCAGTGTGGCAAACACCAAGGTGCACTAATATGTCATATTCATAAATAACAAAAAGGCACAATACCGTGACTGGAATGATACACAAATAACCCACACATAAAAGAGAGAAGCTTACGACAACGTTTCGGTCCGACTTGGACCATTGACAAAGTCACAGTGTGACTTTGTCAATGGTCCAAGTCGGACCGAAACGTCGTCGTAAGCTTCTCTCTTTTATGTGCGGGTTATTTGTGAATGTCATATTCATTTATTTATTTGGACATGATACATGATACAGGCCAAATTACTTAGACTATATAACAAACATTGTCCTATAAAAACGAAACAGATCACGAATAAATGGCTCGGTTGCCCATGGCTAACCAGCAGCATTCTGAAATCCATTGATAAGAAACACCAATATGAAAAGCAATATAGACAGGGCTTAATACACAAAGATATTCTTAAACACTATTCATCAGTTCTCACCAAAGTAATAAAGAAAGCCAAACAACTGTACTACTCCAGCAGATTCACTGACACAGGAGGAGATATAAAAAAGGCCTGGAAAACACTCTCCCAGATTCTGGGCACCCACAAACTGAAAAAAAAACCAAGAATAGTGTCCTAACCAAACCTAATGAAACACCACTGCATCCCAATGATCTAATCTTGCCAGTAAAATCCCACGTACCAACGCCCATGCCGGGGACTACCTAGATGGGAATTTCCCAAATTCCTACTATCTTGTACCAACTGAGCCCACCAAAGTCACCGAGATTATAAAGTCACTTAAAAATAACTCAGGGAATCTGTCTCGTGCCCCACCATTATTGTACAAGCGAGCGGCCCATGTCCTTTCGCATGACTTTTTAACAAGTCACTAGAAACTAACACCTTCCCGAAACTACTCAAGACAGCAAAGGTTACACCAATACATTAAGGTGGTGACCCTACAGATGTAAACAACTATAGGCCAATATCAAACTTACCATTGCTATCCAAAATCTTCGAGAAACTCGTGCACAGGAGACTGTATTCATTTATAACAGCACAAAACATACTCAACCCCTGCCAATGTGGATTCAGGAAAAATAAAAGCACTCATGATGCAATTGTAAAAATAGTAGATCTGCTTTACACAGCATTGGAAAATAAGGAATATCGGCTAGGAATTTTTATTGACCTAAGAAAAGCTTTTGACACAGTAGACCATGGCATCCTACTCCACAAACTTGACCATTATGGTATAAGAGGCCATGCGCTTGTATATTTCAAATCCCACCTTACTAATAGGTATCAGTATGTCACCATTAACCCTTTGAGGGTTTCGGACGTACTAGTACGTCTTACGCGCAGGGTTTTTTGACGTACTAGTACGCATAAATTCTAGCGCCGTCAAATCCTCTCCTGCAGCCCATGGACCAGCAGGTTATTGCAAACTTCAAAAAACTGTACACAAAAGCTCTGTTTGAAAGGTGCTTTGTAGTGACCTCAGAAACTCAACCGACTCTAAGAGAGTTTTGGAGAGAGCACTTTAATATCCTCAATGGTGTAAACCTTATAGGTAAGGCTTGGGAGGAGTGACTAAGAAGACCTTGAACTCTGCTTGGAAGAAACTGTGGGCAAATTGCAGACAAAAGGATTTTGAAGGGTTTGAGGCTAACCCTGAGAGGATATGCCAGTTGAGGAATCCATTGTGCTGGAAGTCCCTTTGGGATGGAGGTTAGTGGGGAGATGTGGAAGAGTGGTGGAGGAGGACATAAGAACAAACCACTGATAGTGATAATCAACTTCAAGAGCAAGGGCCAGACCTGAGGAAACTGTTCAGAGGATGGAGAGAGAAATTGAAGAAGTTGGGCTACTACAAAGATTAAGGAAATCTGTGCAATGTGGCTGACAGTGCAAACCTTTATGGATGAGAATCACCCTCACACAGCTATTGCAAGCCGTGTTGGCAACCTGTACACTGACAATGTTGTGAAACACTTTAGGGAAGTCATAAAGGGACGAGAGGTACAGGCCACTATGGACAGATATGTTGTGCGAAAGAAGTCCAGTGACTCTGAAGCTGGTCCTAGTGGCATTAAAAGAAGAAGGGAAGTAACCCCAGAAAAGGACTCAACACCTCAAGTCTTAATGGAAGGGGATTCCCCTTCTAAACACTAACACTCTCTCTCCCCTCCTCCCATCCCATCAATCATCACCAGATCTTCAATAAAAGTAAGTGTCATGTAATTGTGCATGCCTTTTTCAGTTTGTGTGTATTAAAATTAACATTTCATGTGGTAAAAAAATTTTTTTTTTCATACTTTTGGGTGTCTTGCACGGATTAATTTGATTTCCATTATTTCTTATGGGGAAAATTCATTCGCATACCGATTATTTCGCATACCAATGAGCCCTCTTGCACGGATTAAAATCGGTATGCGGGGGTCCACTGTATTTGTATTACATATTATTAAAGTGTAAAACTGAAGACAAGTCAGTAATAACATACTTCAACTGCTATGGCCCAAGATGGTGGTGTAGCTTGCCAATGAATCTTCTGAATGATGATATCCTCTACAGCATCATATATATAAAGGTTGTTTCCTGCTGTGTACAATACAACATCCTTCGGATCTGTATAGAAAAAGTTTTAAGGCATAAGATGCTTTTCCTCTATACATAAACGTTCTTGACAAACCAATTTTTCTTATGACCAGTTGAAAAACCAAATTCAGTTAAACACACAAAAAAAGATCAAACAGACCACAGGTAAGTTCACTGACCAGTGTGTTTACAATAACCAGCAACCATTTACTACAGGAACATTCATATTGCTTTATGCTGTAGTTTTTTGTAAGGAAAGAAGGAAAATTTAAATAAAAAAAAAAATCCTGATTCACTAACACCTATTCCTTGATGTGTGATTTTTATTACATAAAATGGAATTTTGTGCATTAGGCAGGGAATTATAACAACTTGTAGGAATGAGGAACAGCCAGTTGTGAGTGGGGGGAGGGAAGAGGTGAGTGAGGCAGTAAGTAGAATGAAAAGTGGTACAGTGACTGGGATTGATGGGATAAAGACAGAAATGAAATGTTAAAGCAGGTGAGGATATAGTTTTGAAATGGTTGGTGCTTTTATTTAATAAATGTATGGAAGAGGGGAAGGTACCAAGGGACTGGCAGAGAGCATGCATAGTTCCTTTGTATAAAGGCAAAGGGGACAAAAGAGTGTAAAAATTATAGGGAAATAAGCCTGCTGAGTCATGCAAAAATTCAGGTACATCTCGCTACTTCTACTTACACTTGGGTCACACTACACATGCATGTACAAACATACATAAACACACCCCTTTGGGTTTTCTTCTATTTTCTTACTAGTTCTTGTTCTTGTTTATTTCTGCTAATCTCCATGGGGAAGCTGAACAGAATTCTTCCTCCATAAACCATGCATGTCATAAGAAGCGACTAAAATGCTAGGAGCAAGGAGCTAGTAACCCCTTCTGTATACAGTACACCCTTATATTACATTGTAGTTGTGTTCCTGAAAATGCCGTCTTAGATAAATCTGTGTTAAATAAACTGAAGAACTTATGGGGAAAAAATAGGGTTACGTTCCAAAAATGCCAATTTTTTTTTTTTTTTTAAGATATCCAGATCTTACAAAAATAAAAATGATAATGTTGTTTTTGTTGCTTAAGACAACAAATGCAACAGAAATATTATTATTTACCTCAAATTGTTATTGCCGGTGTATGTCAGTGATTGTGAAGATAGTGGAGATGCATGGTGTGGCCCTACTGGGCTGAGATGGATGGTTGTTGGTTGTCAGCATAAGTGGATGGTTGAGGTTCTGGTACTCAAGTCGATGGTTGTACTGTAGTGAGCACAAATTCTGTAATGGATTTCTGGATTCTTTTACCCTGCAGTACATTATACAGGTGACAATAAGGCATCATCAGTTGCCCTAGACCCCATTTCAGAGCACTGCTTCTAGATTTGTCAGGGTCATCTTAAGTGAAAAAGTCTGCTAGTTTAGCAGCAGCATGGAACTGCTCGCATAACTGCTCCAATGTTAACTGCTTTTCTTCAGGTTCTTCTTCATCTTCTTCTGTTATCTGGCTCCCTTGTATCTGTGCACTGAGCTCTGGCAACATTTCCTTTGGACTCCTGTCTTCATCCTCATCATCTTTTAAGAGGCCAATCACATCTTCTTCCTTCATATCTTCAAAACCATCACCTGGTAATCTCCTTACCAGCTGAACTATTTCCAGAACCTGACTCTCAAGCAAGGGAAAACCAGTGCATCTCTAGCATAGCTGATGGCATCTGCAATGTTAAATTATTCCAGAAGCCTAGTACTGCCAGGGTGGAGTCAAGAGTCCATCCAATTTTTTCCCCCTCCCGCAAACCGAACCGTGTTAAGTTAATTTTAAGAAGTGTTGTATAAAATTATGGGAGCGCTTGAGGTTCCTAAACCTGTATTCCCTGGAACGCAGGAGGGAGAGATACATGATTATATACACCTGGAAAATCCTAGAGGGACTAGTACCGAACTTGCACACGAAAATCACCCACTACGAAAGCAAAAGACTTGGCAGACGATGCACCATCCCCCCAATGAAAAGCAGGGGTGTCACTAGCACGTTAAGAGACCATACAATAAGTGTCAGGGGCCCGAGACTGTTCAACTGCCTCCCAGCACACATAAGGGGGATTACCAACAGACCCCTGGCAGTCTTCAAGCTGGCACTGGACAAGCACCTAAAGTCAGTTCCGGATCAGCCGGGCTGTGGCTCGTATGTTGGTTTGCGTGCAGCCAGCAGCAACAGCCTGGTTGATCAGGCTCTGATCCACCAGGAGGCCTGGTCTCAGACCGGGCCGCGGGGGCGTTGACCCCCGGAACTCTCTCCAGGTAAACTCCAGGTAATTCTTCAATATTGTCTACTGTATATTACTAAATTTAAAGAGAAGCTTTTGTTTTTCTTTTTGGGCCACCCTGCCTCGATGGGATACAGCCGGTTTGCTGAAAAAAACGTTGAGTATACCTGGTGAAGTGTATGGTAGAGTTACTATTGAAAGAATCAAGAGTAAGAAAGAGAGCAGGATCACAGATGAACAAGGAGGCTTTAGGAAGGGTAGGGATGTGTGTATACCAAGTGTTTACAGTGAAACATCATGGTGGTGGTAGTGTTGGTGATACAAGTCAGAGAATGGAGTGCTTGGTGGTGGTGGTGGTGGTGGTGGTGGTTGGTGGTGGTGGTGGTGGTGGGGGTGGTGGCGGCGGCGGCGGCGGCGGCGGCGGCGGCGGCGGCGGCGGCGGCGGTGGTGGCGGCGGCGGTGGTGGTGGCGGTGGCGGCGGCGGCAGCAGGAGCAGCAGCAACAGCAGCAGTAGTAGTATTCAAATTTAATTGTTTATTTTTTTGCAACGTTTACAATGTGTGATTTACATGTTATAAAATATTGTTAAATACAGTGGTACCCCGAGTTTCGGCCATAATTCGTTCCAGAAGGCTGTTTGAGTGCCGTTACCGAGCGAATTTGTTCCCATAACGAATACAGTGGACCCCCGCATACCGTACGCATCGCATACCGTACAATCCGCATACCGGACGCTTTGATCGCAAAAATTTTGCCTCGCATACCACCCAAAAACCCGCTCACCGCCCTTCGTCCGAGACGCGTCCAATGTGCGGCCTGAGCCACGCTCACATGTTCCGCCGGTGGCATTGTTTACCAGCCAGCCTCCGCGGTAACATCCAAGCATACGATCGGAACATTTCGTATTATTACAGTGTTTTTGGTGATTTTTTCTGGAAAATAAGTGACCATGGGCCCCAAGAAAGCTTCTAGTGCCAACCCTACAGCAATAAGGGTGAGAATTACTATAGAGATGAAGAAAAAGATCATTGATAAGTATGAAAGTGGAGTGCGTGTCTCCGAGCTGGCCAAGTTGTATAATAAACCCCAATCAACCATCACTACTATTGGTGGTACAGCTGCTGCTGCTGCTGTACCACCATCAGCTGCTGCTGCACTGTCAGCTGCTGCTGCTGTTGTACCACCGTCAGCTGCTGCTGCTGCTGTAGTACCGTCTGCTGCTGCTGTAGCATCGTCTGCTGCTGCTGTAGCATCGTCTGCTGCTGCTGTAGCATCGTCTGCTGCTGCTGTAGCATCATCTGCTGCTGCTGTAGCATCGTCTGCTGCTGCTGTAGCATCGTCTGTTGCTGCTGTAGCATCGTCTGCTGCTGCTGTAGCATCGTCTGCTGCTGCTGTAGCATCGTCTGCTGCTGCTGTAGCATCGTCTGTTGCTGCTGTAGCATCGTCTGTTGCTGCTGTAGCATCGTCTGCTGCTGCTGTAGCATCGTCTGTTGCTGCTGTACCACCGTCAGCTGCTGCTGCTGCTGTAGCACCGTTGTTGGTGTGGCTTATTGAGAATACCAAGAAACAATTAACCCCAGAGGATTTGCCACCCAGGATAACCCAAAAAAGTCAGTGTCATCGAAGACTGTCTAACTTATTTCCATTGGGGTCCTTAATCTTGTCTCCCAGGATGCAACCCACACCAGTCGACTAACACCCAGGTGAACAGGGAAAAACGCCTGGAACTAGTGCTCATATTGGTGAATTTAAAGCCAGCAAAGGTTGGTTTGAGAGATTTAAGAATCGCTGTTGCTGGATCAGTCAGCTGTTGCTAGATCAGTCAGCTGTTGCTGGATCAGTCAGCTGTTGCTGGACCAGTCAGCTGTTGCTGGATCAGTCAGCTGTTGCTGGACCAGTCAGCTGTTGCTGGATCAGTCAGCTGTTGCTGGACCAGTCAGCTGTTGCTGGATCAGTCAGCTGTTGCTGGACCAGTCAGCTGCTGCTGCACCACGGTCAGCTGCTGTTGCACCATCAGCTGTCTCTGAACATGACTCGTCCTGAACCTGTCCCGAACTTGTCCATCCAGCCTGAGCGCCTGCCTTGCCGTCAGTGTTTACAAGCCAGGGTGGCCGGTTGCATGCATACATTCGATACATTTTGTATTATTCCATTATTTATAGTGCTTGTAACTGCTAAATAAGCCACCATGGGCCCAAAGAAAGCTTCTAGTGCCAACCCTGTGGTAAAAAGGGTGATAAATACTATCGTACCACAGTCAGCTGCTGCTGCACCACAGCTGCTGCTGCACCACAGCTGTTGTTGTTGCTGCACCACCATCAGCTGTATTACTCGAAGATGTGGAGAGAGTGTTGTTGGTGTGGCTTAACGTGAAACAATTACCGAGAAACAATTAACCCCGGAGGGTTAGCCACCCAGGATAACCCAAAAAAGTCAGTGTCATCGAAGACTGTCTAACTTATTTCCATTGGGGTCCTTAATCTTGTCTCCCAGGATGCAACCCACACCAGTCGACTAACACCCAGGTGAACAGGGAAAAATGCCTGGAACTAGTGCTCATATTGGTGAATTTAAAGCCAGCAAAGGTTGGTTTGAGAGATTTAAGAATCGTAGTGGCATACACAGTGTGATAAGGCCTGTTCTGGAAGAAAATGCCAAACAGGACCTACAGTACTCAGGAGGAAAAGGCACTCCCAGGACACAGTGTCTCATCAGTCATTGCTGCATCTTCAATAAAGGTAAGTGTCATTTATT